GCCCCGCCCCGCCCCGCCGGCAGCAGCCCACTCCGGGGCTCGGCGCGGAGCGGTGCGGAGCCCGCGGCCCTTCTCCGGTTCCATCCCCGGTTCCCGGTCCCGAGTTCTGCCCGGCCGGGTCATGCTCTAGCGGTGCCGGTGCCGGTACCGGGGCGCGGGGCCGAGCGGGGCGGAGGAGCGGAGCGGAGCGGGGCAGCGGGCCCCCCCCCCCGCGCCCCCTGCCCGGAGTGCGGCCGGGACGGGAGCATGCGGATCCTCTTCCTCTGCCTTCTGACTCTCGCTGATACCCACGGACAAGGTGGGTACCGGGGGGTACCGGGCAGTACCGAATAGCGGCAGCGCGGGGCCGCCTCAAGTACGACTCCCAACTCCGCGGGCAGCGCTCCAGCCCCGGCCGGGTTCGGGCAACGGCTCCGCTCCCACCCGGTGCCCCCCCGCTCCCCGTTCCCGGTGGGATAAAAGCGTGTTCGAGCGGGGAAGGCGGTGGTTTCGTCCGCCGGGAACCGGCGGTTTGGTCTGGGCGGGCGGGGGAGGGGGGGGAGCGGATCCTGGTGTCGGTGCGACCCCCGGCCCTGGCCCTGGCCCTGGCCCCGGCCCCGGCCCGGGTGCTTGTACCCCGGGTCCGGTCCTCGTGGACCACCCCTCTCCGTTACTGGGGGGGTCGTGATGGAGCCGGGTCGGGTTCTCCTCCTGCCACCCCGGGGCTGTGTCTGTTCCCCCGGGTCTGGTCCTGTTGGATGCCCCGGTCGGGGGTCAAGGTCTTGTGTGTCCCCCCTGTGTCATCGTGTGTCCCCTCCCACCCCACATCTGGGTCCTGGTCCCCCCCAGCCTGGTCGCACGGGGGTCCCCAGGCCCGGTGCTGCCGGAGCCGGGGAGGTTGTGGTGAGGCTGGAGAAGTCGGGGTACGGGGTGGGCAGCAGTGGTGGGATTTGGGAAGTTGTGGGTGTTGGGAAGCCAGGGCGGGTGGGGGAGCTGGGGGGGGCAGGGTCAGTAGGGTGCCCCAGCAGTGGGGACCCAGCTCTGGGCACCCCAGGTGCTGGGGGGAGCCAGGGCTGTGAGGGTGACAGGGGCACCCGGCCTGGACATGGCGATGCTGGCGGGGAGCCGAGTGGGGGCTGCTGTCCGTCCATCCGCAGGGAGAGGAGCGGGTATCTCTGGGGAACAGCCAGGACCCCTGGCTCCTGACCCGGGCAGCCCTTGGGAGAGGGGCTGGGGGGAGCGTGGGACACCCTCCCCTCCCCCCCGCTTGCTTTCCAGGGCTTGCTGTAAGCCGGGGAACAGCCTGAGCCCCCCCCCACCAAGTCCCTGTCTGACCCCCAAAGGACTGCAAGGTGCCCTCTTGAGGAAACTGAGGCACGGGGAGTTGCTCAGCCAAGGTCACGCAGACCAAGAGAAGCAGAGTGGGGGGACAGCCCTGCTGCTCCCCCCCCCCCACCCAGGGCCTCCCTGATGCTCAGCCTCCCTGCCCCGCTGTGCGAGGGAAGTGGGGAAGTGCGCCATGCATGCAGTGAGCTTGCGAGGTCTCAGCTGGCTTGTCCCTCCACAGGGCTGGAGCCGGGCATTGCCCTGCACTGAAGCAGCCCCTGCACGGCCTCTGGTTCCTTCCCTGCTGCAAAATCCAATCTAATTTTTAATTAAGGGGGCGGCGTTGCTAAGATGCCAGGAGGAGGGAAAAAAATTGAGTTGACCCGGGGTTTAAAAGGAGCGTGCAAAGCCTCTTAGGGGGCCGGGGGGGGGGGGGGAGATCCCAGGCTCCCCTGCGCAGGGCTGGGGGAAACACCGCGGGACTCCGCTGCCCTCCCAGGAACAAAAGCGCCTGCTCTCCCGCCCGGTGCCATGTGGATCTCATCGGCGAGAGGGGCCCAGCTCCAGCATCAGCGGAGGGAAGAGTCGGGTGGTTGGGCCTAGGGCTCTGGTGGGAGGGAAGGTTGGTCACATCGCTGGGTGAGGGACCCAGTGACCCCCCGGAACCTCCTGAGCAGCCCCGTCCCACGGCAGTCCCCACTGTCTAAGTTTTGCTCTAGCCTCAGAGAAGAGCCTTGCTCTAAATGGTGGTGCAGAAGAGGGGGGGTCCTGCTTTTGTTGGGGGACAAAATTTGGGGTTCCCCCCCCCCAGAGCTGGGGCTGTGCTAGCTGGCGTGTGCACGCATGTGGGGGGGCCAGTGCCATTCATGTCCTTGCACACAAAGATGTTGAATGGGTTTCATCACTCTTCATTTCTCACTAAATAATTTTCTGTATCTTATCTAAATGAAACCCATTATTCTTCCCCCCATTTCAATCACTCGCCGTGATTGCGCCTCAAATTGAAATATTTATTCATTTTCTGGGCGATTCTTTCTCTCTGTGGGTTTTTTTTTTTTATTCCCTCCCCCCCTTTCCCTCTTAAAAGCTGCAAAATTGAAACAGCAGAGAGATGGGGGCTGATGGAGGGGTGGCAGCGGGGACTTGTCCTTGGGGGGGCTCATGCCAGCCACCCTGTGGCTTGTGGGCTGCCCCATTGTGTGGCTCTGAGACCCAGCACGCTCAATACATGTCCCCAGCCAAGCCCTGCTCCCTTAGGAGATGTCACCACTGAATGAGCAGGGGTGGCACCAGGTGGTTTGGGGTCAGCCTGGTCCCGTTGCTGGGGACTTTTTCTGGTCAGCTTGGATGGAGCTTGCTTGGATGGAGGGATGTGGCACCTTGGCCCAATTTCTAGGGCAGGAGGGATGGTGCCAAGCACGGGACAACCCTGGCTGGCCCTGAACTGGGATGTTAATGCCCTCGGTGGCTCCCCAAGGCGGAAGGAGGTGAAGGAAGGTCCCGGTGGTTCCAGCACAGCCGAGATGATGATGGGGATGGGGAGATGATGATGGGGATGGCAGCGGGCACCTGCCCATCCTCCCTCCGGTGGAGCAGCGGCAGAAGCGGCTCGGCTCCCCGCACGCTGCCGGAGCCACGGTGGCGTGATGAGGTTTGTAAGATGACCGTTGTCTGCTGCAGGGTAATAAAAACCCCCAGGAGATGCTCCAGGGCTGAGATGTGGCAGTGGGGGAGGATGGTGGCCCTCACCCCCTGCCTACCTGGGGCTGGGGGCTGCCCCAGAGCTGGTGGTGTTCAGCATCGTGCCCTGGCCATGGGCACTTGAGGACTGGTGGTGATACTGGTGACCCCTGGGCTCTGTCCAATCCTGGGGGTCCCCGGGCTTCCCTCGGGTGCTTGCCTGGGGTGAACCCACCGTCCCTGTGGGCACACGGTGCCCTCAGCCCAGAGCTGCTCTCCTGGAGGAGCTGATCCATCCCTCGCCCCAGTTTGGCCTTGCCGTGTCTGGCAGCGTGTTGACGGTGGCCAGGTTCTGCCTTGCAGTGTACCTCCCACCCCCTGATGCTGTGCGGACCCATGCCAGTTGTCCCCCACGTCCCCACCAGGCAGGAGCCTGGGTCACCACGATTGTACCTGCCACCCCTCCAGACCCCTGTCCCCAAAACCCCTTGGTGGAGGGGACAGAGCCACAGCAGGTCACCACAGCCTCCCCACAGCAGGATGACGCCCCCAGCCCCGCAGCCACCCTGCAGGAAACCATTTTGGCAACTGGGATGGGGGCTCTCAGGCGCCAGTGGGGTTTTGCCAATGCTTTTCCCTTCTCCAGGACGGGCACAGGAAGGGGATGAAACCCCTTTCCCACCCTGGGGATGCCTCCATCTTTCCGCAGGGAAGTTGAAAGAGGGAAGGGTGCATCGCAGCCCCGCAGGAGGGGTCCGGATCAGGCCCCCAGCTCTGCCCCGCTGCGGGGCTGGAGCCAAGGCAGCCTTTGGGGCCGACGGGACGGGCCCTGCCGCAGCAGCCACCGCCCTGTGCCGGGACTTGCCTGGGCAGTCTGTGCCAGGGCTGAATCACCCGCTGCCGCGCTGGGGCCCGGTTCGCCGGCGGAGAGGCAGCCAGCCCAACCGCGGAGGCCCCCCGGCAGCCTCCCGTGCCGGCCCCGAGCACTGCCTGTGCCGGCAGCATCCTGCCTGTTTTCTGCGGGACCTAGAGCTGTCCGTTTGTCTGTCTGTGGTGACCTCTGGCAACCCAACCATCCAGAGGTGAAATCGGGGTCGTTGAGCACCCCTCTCCCACTGACCAGAGCTGAGTGGCATTAATTACATTCCTATCCTTTAATTTGGGATTGGTTTAATCCCGAGCCAGCTTTCCTCCTGGCCTAGGTCCTACCTGGGATCCTGGCTTGCAGGGATGCACGCCCATCCTGGTGAGCACATCTCCAGGAATGCTGGAGCCAGCTCCGGTCACGGAACTGTGGCACACAGTGGCTGCCCGGCCTCGGTGCTCCACCACTGCCGTCCATGGGTCCATCCGTCCGTCTGACATGCAGCCCCCCACCATGTGGGCAACACGGGGATTATAGCTAACTCTCCATAAAGATTCCCCTAATTGCTTGCCTTACCTCAGGTTTTATCATCAAAGCATCCGTTATTCCCTCTCTAGCCTCCTTTTCTTTTTATTATCTCTTAATTAATCACTCTAGCTTTCACACTTAGCAGATAATTACAGTCTCCTGGGCACACAGCTCATTTTCATAACCTCCTGCTCCCAGCCAGGAGTGGGCACGGAGTGGGAGGGAGGCAGTGAGCGGGGAAGATGGAGGGGACGGAGGGACCATCCCGCGCTGGCAGCGTGACCCACATCACTTCTCTCGGTGGCAGCGTGGCCACTGTGTCACCCTCCGGATGGGCAAGCGGGCAGGGCTGGGTACCAGCCCACAGGAGAGGGTGCTCAGGTGAGGACCCCCCCGCCAGCTACCAGCCCAAAGGGGAGGGTGCTTGGCAAGCAGCGCAGCCAGGCGATGGGGCAGAGTTAAGGGTATCTGGAAAAGGGATGGAGCTCTGGTCCGGGATGCAGCCTGGACTTTGCTGCAATACATCCACAGGGGCTGGGAGCTGGAAAACGAGCTCCTTTCCACCCACCCGCCACAAAAGTCCCGTCGGCGTGGCATCAGATGTGGCGTGGCTGGTGACGCCAGGCCCTGGTGCTGGGCTGGATCCCGGCGATGTTGGGGTCACTGCCGCGAGGGGATGGCGGGAAGGAGGGATTTAAAGAGCAAACCCACTTGGGGAAGACATAGGGAAGGGAAAAAGGGGGAGAGAGGCCTTTTCTGCAAGGGTTGGGACATAAAGGGCTGCCAGCGCTGCCATGGCAACGGGCGGATTATGATCCAAATGGAAATCAAAATAAGAGGGGGGGGAAGCAAAAGAGTGGAGTAAAGGAGGAGGGGAGGAAAAACAACTTTTATTTCCAATCGGAGAGCGGTTGTGTGCC